TTATTGAGAAAATATCGAAATATTTTTCATTTTTTGGGGTAAATTTTAGGGGGTATGGGTGTTTTGTGTCATTTTAACAAGATTTATAATTGGTAAAACATCTTAAACTTACATTCAAAATAACAATATAGGTCTAAGCTTTCCATAAATACTACTATAACAACTCATCATGTCTTAAACGTAACTCTGTCGTATACAAAATGTTTATGAACATGGACAATTAAATGGCACAAAAAGTGGGGCATAGTGTTAAGTAAGACGTAATTTTCAAGACTTTGCCCTATTTAGATTTTTCTAGACTTTTGATATGTTATCTTCTGTATAAATAAGTGCAAGAAAAACACAAAATAAACTTTGTTGGAATTATGTATGGGTTGAGCCCTTTTTTGTCGTAGGCTGACTGGTCTAATGCAGGGTTGTAGGATAGGGAAATTTTCAAAATTGGCAAAACCTTTGGCTAAATACATTGTAAAAGGTTTTAATTTCATCACGTCTCCTTTTCTGCTTGGCGGCATCAGAGTTTTTTCAATTGTTGGGCCATTGTGACCTCATGTCACATGAAATCCTAATACTCACCACAGGTCAATTTTTCCTTCGTTCTCTCTGTATTTGGTCCTGAATCCCTGTTCTTGGAGTCAGTGGAACTGCTATGGTTACCATCACTTCTAGTGTCATTCGGAGGCTTTGTACAACTGGGTTCTGTGTCACCACTCTTTTTCTCACAACTGGAAGCAATAAACCCTTGAACTGACTGACTTGAATTGGGAGAACCCATCTGATCTGATGACTTTGTAGTGCAGTCAGTTGGAACCACCTGGACTGGATCAGTAATATCACGATCTTTCATCTCTAAAAAGACACAAGATAACCTTTGAATGCTATTCCGGTAATAAAATTTCAGATCTCCTGCAACACCAAATATAGACATCAATAAATAATTACTTTTAATTCAGCCATATACTGGAACTGATTAATAAGAAATTTGTGACATTCATTTTTTGATGTGTTTATCATATTTGCCCTTTAAACTAGGACACCACATTAAAACTCAAGTTTCCTGAAGAGCCCCAAGTTGGGCAAAAGTGAACTTGCAGTTGACATTTTGGATATGTTTTATACATATAGCTATGCATTCGTCACCTTACCTAAATCAGTGTTTTCTGTCTTCTCCAGAATAGCATCTTTCTTCCTTCGTTTATGTGATGGTAAGAGGGAATAATCTCCGGTGTTCTTTGGCAAATCTCCAGATCTTAACCTCTTTGACCGAGAAGACTGGGCCTCCAGGAAGGTATTGTCTGTGGACATGCCTTGCTGGACACATGTCCCCACTGATAAAGACTCTGACAAAGAACACTCTGATGGCAAATTCGAAGACAACATTGAAGAGGACTGTGAAGCTGACACTGAAGAGGATGTTGAAGATGATAACTGTGAAGAGTGACAAAAATTGTTTTTCTCAACTTGATCATCTTGAGGTAAAGTGTTTGCTTCACTTGAAATCCAAGACGAATAAAAATCAACACCACTTGTTCTTGGAGTGTCTGACCTGGGTGGTGTGTTTGACCTGGGTGGTGTGTCTGACCTGGATGAACTGGGTGGTGTGTCTGCCCTGGATGACCTGGGAGGAGTGCGTGACCTGGGTGACCTGGGAGGTGTTTCTGACCTGGGAGGTGTGTCTGGGGGGGGTGGTGTGTGTGATCTGGATGGCCTGGGTGGTGTGTTTTACCTGGGTGGTGTGTTTGCCCTGGGTGGTGTGTCCGACCTGGGTGACCTTTTTGGTGTGTCTGACCTGAGTGGTGTGTCTGACCTGAGTGACCTGGGTGGTGTTTCTGACCTGGATCACCTGGGTGGTGTGTTTGCCCTGGGTGGTGTGTTTTACCTGGGTGGTGTGTGTGGCCTGGGTGAGCTTGGTGGTGTGTCTGACGTGGATGACCTGGGTGATGTGGGTGGTGTGTCTGCCCTGGATGACCTGGGGGGTGTGTCTGGCCTGTCTGATCTGGGTGGTGTGTCTGACGTGGGTGACCTGGGTGGTCTGGTTGACCTGGGTGAACTGTGCGGTGTGGCTGGCCTGGATGACCTGGGGGGTGTGTCTGGCCTGTCTGATCTGGGTGGTGTGTCTGCCCTGGATGACCTGGGGGGTGTGGCTGACCTGGGGGGTGTGTCTGGCCTGTCTGATCTGGGTGGTGTGTCTGCCCTGGATGACCTGGGTGATGTGTCTGACCTGGGTTACCTGGGCGGTGTGTCTGATCTGGGTGGTGTGTTTTACCTGGGTGGTGTGTTTTACCTGGGTGGTGTGTTTTACCTGGGTGGTGTGTCTGACCTGGGTGGTGTGTCTGACCTGGGTGACCTTGTTGGTGTGTCTGACCTGGGTGACCTGGGCGGTGTGTCTGACCTGGGTGACCTGGGTGGTGTGTCTGACCTGGGAGGTGTGTCTGACCTGGGAGGTGTGTCTGACCTGGGTGGTGTGTCTGACCTGGGTGAGCTGGGTGGTGTGTCTGACCTGGGTGGTGTGTCTGACCTGGGTGGTGAGGTACAGCTCTCTTTAGTATGGTGATCAGCAGGTGCACACACACTTAGTGCTGTTTCCACTGTGGATGAGTTTGGTCTGCCTTCATTTCTGGAACGTTGAGAGGTAGAGGTTACATTATCAATGTCCAAACCACTTCTGAGGCTGTCCTGGACTGGTGTGCTTCCACTTAACAGCCTGGACTTTTCTGCTGTGCTTTGTGACTGGGTGAAAGTAGCTTCCAGGAATGCACATATCGGATCCAGTCTCACTAAGGAAAATAAAAGCACATTAACGTATAATATTATTATCACTGACATGTCCAATGTATCCTAGTTCAGGATTTAAACCAGTTTTCTATCACTTCCAGATTTTTATTTCACAAATCTAACCACTTGAAAATGAGCCTTAAATCTTGTTCATATAAGCTGTGATTCAGCAAATAACAAGAAGCCTAGTCAGTAGTGAGCCTGTATCGTGTACCTGTTATCTCATAACTCATGGTATTATATCAGGCAGCATTTTTGATACCTGTAACCTTGAAAGGACTATGTATGGTTTGGGCCTGTTTTGGCCCCCAAATGCATCAAAATTCAAAACCTTTAAGTTAACTTTGAAATGACTGTTTCTTTAATTTCGAATACTTCCCAAATACTATTATGAAAATATATATAATTCTAATTATTGTTGCCATGGTAACAAGTTCAAATTTGCATAGTTTTTTCTCCTAGAAACTATAGAGTGCATGCTTGAACAAACTTAATATCAAAGGATAATGAGTAGGCACCTCTAAAACATCTTTAAGAGAAATATAAAGTTTGTTCAAGAGTGCGCTCTATGGTAGCTAAGAGAAAACTATGTGAAAACCTGTCAAAACATGGCAGCAAAAATTGAAAACACCAATAAATGTTTACATAATAGTACTGGGGAAGTATTCAAAATTAAAGAAACATTTGTTTGAAAGTTCTATAGCAGATTTTAAATTTTGATTGATTTGGGGGCCAAAAAAGGCCCAAACCATACATAGTCCTTTAGTCAATAATTTGATGGAAGTTTACAACACTCTATCCTTGTAGATATATTGTATTAACTAAATATCACCTGAAACTGAGATTTTATATGCTTTTATCAATATAATTACAGATTAATTGAAAGTGTGAACATTGTAAACATAGTCATTCCATGAATGATATACAAGCTCCATGTGTGTGCCCAAAGTACAAAACACTGCTGAAAGATACACAAACCCTTTAGGGAGTCACATGTGCAAACTTAAACCAGACCTTCATCCACAGACAAACATTTCTGTCAAATATGAACACAGGGCATTCAAAACTAAGAAAGAAGATTAATGCCTTATGGTCATTCTCAGAAACTGTATCATCCCGAATGTAAAACATTTGATAACCGCCACCACCCCCTCCTCACTTCCTTCTCAGATGGGGCCTGGGTCTATATCAAGCTTAAGTGCCCTGTACTCAGGGTGATGTTCTAACCGAACTTCAAAGTTTGTCACTAGTCCAAGTGAGAAAACATTGCCAGTTGGTCAAGCATTGGAAATCATACCATCCCCTTCCTCTGGGAGTAGAGTTGGGAAACTCGCTTCCAACATTCCTGGACTGAAATTTGGATCAAACAAGTCATCATTCTCATTGTTGAAATATCTACACGAGGGATTTCACTTCATTGCAATACCACCCCAGATATATATGTATATAATTTATTCCTTTCATACATCATACATGTTCATACACTGTCCAACCAAGCTGTAACACAACCAGGACATAACCTAGACCCATCAAGCTGATACGAAGCCAGGACAGCACTGTCCTACCAAGCTGTCACACAGCCAGGACANAGAAGAGATAAGCTTACTGACAAACTAGCTGACGTATTTTTTTGTAAAAGCCACACAAAACCTGTTAAATGCAAATCTCCTGAAAAAAACACTATCAGACCGGCAGAGGCAAACTGGTTGACCACTGACATCTATACTAGAGGGTGTTACACCCTATACCATATAGACTCTAGTTTGTTATACCCAGTGCTACATAGAAGAGATAAGGTTACTGACAAACTAGCGGACGTATTTTTTTGTACAGGCCACACAAAACCTATCCCATGCA